TGTTTTTCTTTAGTAAAATACCTGAGATGAGAAGTGTACCTCTTATCTGCTGGTTAATGTCTGTACTTCTCTTTGGGGAACTAATTTAAACACTTCATGAGAGATTGACATTTTCAGTACCTTAAACATGCTTAAAAGCTGCTTTGTTCACTGCAAACCATATTTAGTATGACCTCATAATAATGTAGCACACCTCAAGTGTCATGCCTGTCTTTACTGTGCACTTTGGAGCTGTGTTCATCTGTACTAGACAACTGCACTTCAAGGAAAGATTTTTTTTTTTTCTTGATAGGCAATTAGCAGTAATTAGGAAGATTCACTTCAGTAAGGTGTCAACATGAGATTGTTTAAAAAAGTTGAATGTCAGTGGCTTTAAAAGAGGGTTCTTCTTCCTGACACATAGGTATGGCATGTGAAACATGAAATGTTAATTTAACTTTTCTGCTTATTATTCATGCACAATATTATTTTGTCATTCAGATACTACACTGACAGAGTGCAAAGGGTGTTAAAATAGTGCTGCTGGAATAAAAAGAGGATTAATCTACCATTGGCCAATTAGCCAAAGGGTACTTAATGGTCTCTAAAGGCTACTGAAGTCTAACAACTAGCTAAAGCGCTGGCAAAAAGTCCTCTATATTACCTTCATTTATTTGACATTTTGTGGAATAGTCAGCTCCTGATAACTGCATTTGGCTGAAAAAAATTACAACTAAATGATTCAGTAGATTTTGCTAAAATTTCAGAAGAATAAATGACAAATAAGTTCTACATTTTACAAGAAGTTTGTCTTGCTTTTGGGGGGGGGTCTTTGTTTCAATTTAGAGATGGGATATTAAGTCACCAGAGTCTTCTGTTTGATACTTTGTCTTCATGTCTAGAATACTAAGTAATCAACCACTTACAGCACTTGCATGAGAAGAACTTTGATCCAGGATTTGAAGTTATTTGCCTTTTCTCTATATGATCACATTAAATATTCACCATGGCTTTTTAGTCTAGTATATATCTTTTGAGATAGCTGCATACCATCTTTATTAATTTTGGCTTTTTTTTTTCCTATGACCCATCAGGCAGAGAAAGGTTTTCATTCAAGAGTAATGGGATTGACACAATAAATTGGATATTGTAAATAGGTTTATCCTTATGTTGTAATAATATTTGAGAGAATGAGTAAATTCATAAATACCTAGCTCTCTGCCTGCAAGCATGCTTTGGAAAGTTATGTTTTACGTGTGCAACAAGTACTGCTTATTTTGTGTGTTTTTCATGATCAAGCAGAAACTCTGAAAATAGTGTTCTATGTAAAACATTTATAGAAGCAGTGTTAAATTCTAAGACAGAACTTTGTATAGGAGCTATCCATATAGCAAATGTATTCTATTACCTACTGCAGGAAGGTTTCTTAGGAGAAAAGAAAAATGAGTGTTAACTTCAGTTTTCTTACAGCCGTAGCAGTGTTTGCATCTGCCAGGATTTTAGGGTGGGAAGCTTCACAGAAAATGCGATTTTTACACATCAAAGTATATTAGCTTTAGTTTGAAAAATGAGTAATAAGCTAAGATTATGTCACTGCTTTAAAAGTGTGTCAGGAATGCCTGATTTACATCCTGATTTATAATTTTTATATAATATATTTTGCAACTAGAAATGTGTGAGATTGTGTGACTTCGGTAGCAGTACAGTATCAGCTCCTTCCAACAGAAGTGTTATATTCATACATGCCAGTTGCACTAGAATAGTGACTTCTCAAAAATGAGCTCAAAGCCCCTTATGGAGTGATTGTGGTGCCAAGGAGCAATAGGCCATTCCAGGAACTTCCTGTGTTAACCCATAGGGCCTTCCACACAGCTGTCTTTCTGAGCAGAGAGCTCACAGTGAAAAGCCTTGCTGAGTCACTGGAAGTCTTATACTGACTACATAGAAACTGAGTTTTCATCACTTGCTCCTTTGTGAACAGCAGTACAGAGTGTCATGGGTATACCAGGAGCAAGGAGATTAAGATAGATGGATGTTAAAATATTGAACCTATAAACATCTGTTAAGCCAAAAACACTCTGGAGGAGGTGCAGCAGACAAAGGCCGCTACATCATAGAGGAACAGCAGTAGGCTGCCTTTACCAACATCTGGTCTAGCTGATGTTTAAGATTCTTCTACCTTTCATCCTGGTGACCTCTTCCCCTGGAGTAAATTCTTCTTATTCTGTCATTCAGGATTTGTGTGTCGGGTAACACACACGCAAAACTTTTGTTGTGTCTGAAAAAGAAAAATAATTAAAAATTTGACCTAAAGTATAGGCAGTGGTGAAGAACACCAGGGTAATAAACTTGTTTTTTAAGTAAATGCAAGGAGTATCTTTTAGGTATAAATCTCATGATAGGGCAGGGGGGCTGTTTTTTATATCCAACATGGATTTACATAGGATTTTCTCATAACTGTTTAATGGATTAAAAATAAAAGAGTAATGCAGTAGAATTATCAGTCCTGTAGTAAATTTACAATGTCTACAGCAGTATTAAGAGACAAGTTATGTCAAATGTCTGATTGCAATTGCATGCCTGTCTGCTTTTGCGGATTGGGCTCTTGTACATCATATGCTACTTTCACTCCATCCGTAGTTCTTGTGCTGTTTCTGAATTTATGTAGATTCTTATTTTAAGATTCTTTTTTCTACCTCTTTAAGTGGTTTCTGTAAGCAACTGTCATCTTTAGTACATATCCTACATGAAGACCTTTTCTTTTTGAATATATTTGTTATAATTTTTGAGAATGTGGCCAGTGCAATTCTTGTTGTTTTAGAACTGATGCATATTGTCAGCAGCAGTAGCCTGAGAAACTTCTGAGAGTCATGAGCTATCTTGGGTAGATACAGGCATTTCTAATTTTGAACAGAAATATTGATCTAGCTATGATTTTTTTTTTCTTTTCCTTTTATGAATAATTTATTATAGAGACACTGAATCATGAAATTCTGCATGTTGAAATATTGGTTATACTGGACAAATTAACATAATCTTCATATTTTTCCATACTATGTTCTTCTGTATTAATGCTGTTTTTTCTTGTTGAAATGGTCCTTGTTTTATCTTTTACTCTGCAAATGTAGTAATTACGAGAAGAATACATCAGATTAAGGAATAGTCAATTAGAAAATACAGTATCATTCTCTTGTTTAATAATGACAGCAGACGCAGAAGGGAATGGAAAGATTAGCTCCTTTACTAAGAACAGTACTTACCTCAGATACATATGTAAAATGCCCACTGACTTTAATAAGTGCACTTGGTGAATATGAAATAAATACTGTTATATTTTTAACTTTAAATACCAGATGAATTTTCCTTGTACCCATGATATTTTTTTAGGCTAATGCAAAATATACAAATATTCTTTTCTCATTCATAATGGGAATTAATGTGACTCTCTTTTATCTGTATAGATGATCTTCAGATTATTGTCATGGAAGTGCATGTTTTTATAAACACATGTGTATGATTTTTTTTCCTAATGATATCAAGCTGGATAAAATCTAATTTGTAAGTTAAATAATAAACTGCTTGAGAATAGAATACTTAACTTTCACCTTTTTTGTTTGCTTTTACGTGTGTTTTTTTGTGGGTTTTTTGGGTTTTGGTTTTTTTGTGTTTGTTTTTTTGATTTCTGATTGGGTATTTCATTTGGTATCAGCACTTAATCAGGCACACAGTTAGTTATTTCAAGCTGTCATGTATCTTCTCATGCTTCTGATCAGGATTCTTCACAAAGTAAGGGGGTTTTTTTGCATTTTGAGGTATTTCAATACTTCAATTTGTACAATTGTTTCTTATGTTAAGCTACTGTATTACAGTCTTATGTGGAATAATAAGATAGCATTTTAATAACCCGTGTAAGGAGCTGAGAGCTGTTAGGCCATTGTTGGCTTTCGGCTGACTGCAGCTTTGTGAAAGTTAATCACTGGCATGGAGATCATTTCTGTTCCCTTTTTGCAGAATAACATTCAATATTATTTAAATTAAAGCAATTATTTAAAACATTACTTCTGAAAGTAATGTGAAATATATTGGTACAAAAATGGAATAAGTCTTGTTGGTTGTCGGTCAAGTGCAACAAGACTAGAGAGTTTGTTTGCACAATATTTATTTGAACTAAATCCCTAACAAGGCTCGTCTGCTAATTGGACTTAGCATTTTTGTTGCTAAGTGAGAAGCATTTTGGCTGCAATATAGGGTGGTAAGACCTACCCAGTGGAATAAACAACTAACATCTGTTATCCTGTCCTGCTCCAGCTTGTCTTTTACCACTTAAGTACTTCAGCCCTAGAGTCAAGGTTATGGAATGTGCAGTTCTCTGGCTATAGTGTGTATATTGAAAGGGATGAAATAACACATAGGTAAAGACCAGCCAACCAGGAGATCTTTAGTGCAGCTGGTCCACTTTGCTTTAACCTCTACAAGCCCTAGAAATATCAAAACAGAAGCCAAGAGAAGGGTGTACACTTTATAGCAGTTGTCAACACAACTGCTGAGCAACACAAGCAATTCAAATGAGCTTACAGTGGTCACCATTAGAACAGATTTGACATCTAACTACCCTTTATTCACACTGGTACCTGAAACACCATGGTATTTCTTCATATTCTGTTAGAAATAATTGCTGAATTCCAGGGAAGCTCTAGGTAAACAGTTTTCAACAGTAACTGCTGTTACAGTTTTGTATGATAATTTTTGTCTGTTGTTGTTAAAACTGCAACATATTCAATCAAAATTGAATTGTTTTGCCTTAAAATAATTGTTTGTTTTCTGTGGTAGTAGATTTCTTTTTTCTGCCATATTTCATCTTTGCCTGTACTAGAGAATTCAACCAACAGCTATGCAATGTAATTACAGTGAATGTATACAGTTTCATTCCTCTTGAATGGTGAACTGGAGAAGCATCTCATATGATCCGTCAGAAATACTGTTAGGATGAAATTGTGATTTTTTTATTCTTTGTAAAACAGATTTTGGCCTCCAGCCTGGCCAAGTGGCAATTGGAGAAGAAAGATTTACAAGGAAAATTAAAGTTGAGAGAACATCTGTCTCAAACTGCTGGCAAGAGTGAAGCCACACCAGCTCCTTCAAAGAACATTGATTTAGAGATTAAACAGCTGCAGTGCAAACTAAAGGTGACAGAACAGATTATCTAGTGCTGAGGATAATTTGTATGAGCAGTAGTTCATAACTGGGTCAAGCAGACATACATATACTCACATACACCTAACATTTGTATATCATAGCAAATTATTAGCAGCTTAGGTGTTAGATTCCCTTTGATGGTAAGTAGAAATGTAGTCATAGACAGAACTAAAAGTTCTAAAACAATTTCTGCATATCAGATAGGCCAAACAAGGAGCCTTGCTGTGCTGGGTTTTTGCACAATGACTAAGTACATCTTGTTGGAAGGTGCTGTGAAATTAGTTTGATGAGAATTCAGTTGGTTCCTTTCTTAATCTAAGGAGAAAAGCAATAGCTGTCTGTGAAAGTGGAGCAAAGTATTTGAGCTAATGGGGCAGCATTGTTGTGTGTGTGTCAGTGTTGTCTTTGTCTTCAGAGAGACTTTTTTATTATTTTGTATTTTTGTAGATTAGCTGGTAGGAAAATCCTGACTGGTTGATGATTTCACTTTTCAGTCTCAGGTGATTTTGTTACATGTGAATGATGCAGAGACTCGACTGTGCTGTTCTGAAAGCTTTCTCAGCAGGTGGCTGGCTCAAACATATTAATTCTTCTTCTCTTCTCACTGGAGAAAATGTATTTGCAACAGTATGTCTTCAGGTTTTTTTTCCAATTGTTTTCTGTTAAATAGTAGAGGAAAGAGAAAAGGTCAAAATGGTGCAGCTTCGTGCTGCTAGAAGAAACTCAACAGTAGCAAGAAGTCTGCCAAAGGATCAGCTAGGAGAAAAGGCTGTGTTACATGGTCAATGTAGCTGCCTCTAAATGCTGGATTAGCTGTGCTAGCACATGAGATGTGGGTGATGCTCAGACCTCTGAGCTGTTGATGGTAACCATGGTATTACAGATCGTGGCTATTGCACACTGGATGTATAACATCTAAATTCAGGGATTAGTAAAGGTAGGTCACATTGATAAAGAGATGAGGCCAGCAGGGAGTAGCCATGAAAAGGCACATAAATTGATCTGCTTTAATTATGAGAAAGAGGTCTTAAAACCATACACACTGTCTTCTTGAGTATTGTTTTTAGGTTTGGTATTGAATAATCTTCTTCTGTTCCTGTTAATTACGGTTGTACCTTTTGCATTAGTATCTTCATGATCCAGAAACTTAGGAGTCAATTGATGTATGCAGGTAGAAAAAATTAAAAAATGGGGATTTATTTTTTTAAAATAGCTTAAGAGTAATACCCATGCTAGAAGCCTACTCTATTTGTCTGTCAAATGTGAACAGCAAAACAAATTTCTGAAAAATCAAAGGGTTTTTTTTGTTTCTTCAGCAGAGGAAATATTTAGCAAGCATATATAAATCTGATATCAAAAATACTAGTATGATTTTTAATTCCTTCTTAAAGATACATTAAATTTCTAATGAAAAATAAATCATGTATGCAATACTATATTTAGGATGGAGATTGTCTGTGACCCCAAATGCTAAGTAGTAGAGTAAATTCACTGGTTTCTGAATTGGATAAGAGTTTTAAATATAAGGAGCTCAAAAACTACTTAAATCAAGTTTCTGAAATTCTTAACTTTACTGAAAGCTAGTTTAAGTCCTGCAAGTTATTTTTTAGCAGAAGAATTTCACAAAGGGTTTTCAATTATTGTTCCAGGGGTTCTGGGTGACTTAAAGATGAGACATGTAGTTATTCTCCTGAATATCTGAATGTCTAAGCAGCAAAAGCTTTCCTTATAGCTCAAAATGTCCAAGTACCTGGCCTTGTTGGTTAACTTTTTTTTCTTTAGCGCTATCTTTGCAGTGCTTGTTTACGTTGTATATAATGATTCCTTGTATCTTTTCCAACAGGAAGAATGTTAAGTGTGGGTGGTGAGTTTGGAGGCAAAATACCATAAGCATATGTCTTTGCCTCGGAATGTGTGCAGAGGCCCACCAAAGTACTCAAGTTCATGTCTGGTGTGTAAACCACGTAACTGGGTGCTCTGCTTTACGCTAATGGAACTCAATCTCCACAAACAGGTCTCAGGAAACTCAGGAATATTCTGCTAGCATACATCATTTTAACAATTTTCTGGTTATACCTCACATTATAATAATAGTAAATAGACTAGACAAGTTATTAAGAACAATATTTTACATCTAACTATGCACACAAGAATATATACTCCCCTTGAGGTGCACAGAGTTATGTGCAATACTCCCATTAATGTTAATAGGCATTACAAGTCTGCACCGAGCAGAGAAATTCTCCTGAAGTATCATACAGCATGTCTGATCTGTTTGCTTATTGTTTATACATAGCAAGTAAAAAGCTGTAGTACAGTGGCTAAAACTGTATACATAGAGGCAGATACATATTTTGTGAGTATGCTTAACATGTCTCTTTTGGCAACACCTTTTGAAGTTCTGAAATATTTCTGTGTGGTGTGTGTGAGCTGCCATTTCAGCAATGGCATTCAATGCATGTGTTCAGATTGCTAAGATGGCTACTTAGTTAAATTTCTTTCCTATTTTTTTTTCTTTAGAATGATTCAGTTTTTCTGCGTTTAAATCTTGGGTAGATGATGTGTAATTTCCTGGAGGAATAGAAGCACTTTTTTTCTTATATACAGATGAGGAATGGCCAACAACTGTATAAATGTCCTTCACTGGAATGACATGTGCCTGAAAATTAGGATCATACCTGGTTGTTAGTGAAATGTAGAATTTGTGTTAGTACAGACAAATGGAAATGTGTCTGTCTTGTGCTTTGAATTTCAGAAGACATGAAAGCAATCACTCTTGTAAATTGTTTTGTATTTCTTAATACTTAAGATGAAAGGAATTACTGGACATTCTTGCTGTATAGATGTAGACTCCTTGTGCTGTAGGACTGTACCATTCAAAGATATAGTTCAAATGAAGATAAAGTTTTACTTCTCTTCTGTGACATTTTATTCTGACCCTGCTGTGCAAGAGAAAATGTGGTCCTGATTCGTGCTTGCAAGTGTCCAGAGAATATCTAGTAGCCATACATTATTAGAACGATAGAAATGTACTGATTTTCATCATATTTTCCAAGGAATGTACTTCTGCTTAAGTGTTTCTAGAAAGTAAGAACACTCCTTTTTTACCAGCTAATTTCTAAGAACCTTCATAAAATACGTGGAAATTTACTCAGATAATTTTTTCAAAATTTACTGTTGATTGTGATCAACAGTGGCATTCGGTCTACTTTATTTATATTTTAATCTTTTTCAATATAGAATTCGAACACTGAAATCGCTAAGCAATCGACCACCATTAAGTCCCTTAAAAAACAAGTCCAGGAAAAAGAAGAATGGGTTCAGGAACTACAAGCGAAGTATGGTGCCCCTTCTATCCATTGTGTCTGGTGCCACCCAGTGGCAGCTGTGAAATTGCTACAACGTCAACTGTTCTTCGATTCTTAGGAGAGCGATGTCTTCTTTTTATTGCAGTCTTGCATTGTGTTACAGGGATGTTTTTGAAACTGGAACAGTTTATGCTTAAATTCCATTTTTTTATAAACTGATGCAGCTAGCTACAGTATCTGTATGACAGTAAGAATACCTTAAGTCGGCACTCAGGCTATTTTATGCTTGATGTAAGTCAAAATGAATTCCTCAGCACTGTTAAACACAGTCTTTCAAATTCAGTAATTCTTTGCCTAGGGGCTGAGAGACATGTCAAGGTTCAGATGCTTAAATAAGATTAAATAGCTAGTCTTATATTCATAAAAAAGTTCAAAAGGACAGTTGTATTTGTTTCTATTTGAATTGACTCAGCTCTGTTATTCATTTTGAAATTCAAAAATTGTCAAATACGCAACTGATTTTTTTATTCTACCTACTGTAACTGATATAATACTATTCTTCAATTATATTATTATATCAACTATAAAAAGCTATGTGTATCTGAATTTCTTGTCTAAGATTTTAACTCCTCTAACACTTCTGATTTTTTAATTGAAGAAAGAATGCAGTTTGCTTATCTGAAAATAGTTCATTTGAAATATAGAGAGCTCTAAAAATGGTTAATTTGTAGATTGTTTGTTTTCTGTTTCAAAGTGGATTTTTCCACCATAAGATTTCGAATTTCAAAGAGTTATTGGATAGCATGCTCTCTTTATGAAATAGATGTTGTTTTTTTATAGGTTATAAAATATAATAATCAAAATAGCAGTAAGAGTATAAAGATGAAATAGATCAAAGAAATTTTTAGATTCATTGTATTCCTGGAGTTTTTTTTTAAATACAGTATTGACATTTATTAAAAGTATTGTATACCTGAATATAATACCATTCATTTTGATTTCATTGGAAAAAGTCCAGATACCTGGACATATTTAGGTATTTATGTTTATATTTAAAATATTATTTTGTGTTATTATAGTGAAAGGATTTTATAAGGCATAATTTTCTCATTGAACAAAGATTACTTTTTAGTACATGAGAGTTTTGGGTGTTTTACAAGAAGTTTCTGGCAAAAGCTGATGTTATTTCTAGGTTTTGCATTTTATCTCATCTGACACATAGGAATAGAGTTTTTTCAACTATTTCCGTGTGTTACTCAGTTGGAGGAAAGGAGTCTTCCCCATTTCACTTTCTTTTGAAAGTAATTTAGCAAAATATAGTGTTTGAATGATTGTTTGCAACATCAAAGGAATTTAATTAATTGACTTTTGTGGGCTCAGCAGGTTTGTTTTCCCTTTTTTTGGTAATAGTTTCAGAACTGTTGTGATTTCCGTTCAGACAAGCAAAAGTCAAATCACAAATATATTGCATATTTAAAAAAGGTCTGTTTAATAAGAGACTTGAGAACCAAATAAATTGCAAGAACTGCATCAGCTTTCATTTTTGAAAGTATTGTAGTGCTGCAGGTATAATAGATTGTCTACTGCCTTTGTACCTTTTAGTTGCATATTAACCAAATTTTCTAGCAGTGATATGCAGTCCAACTTCTTCCTCTGCAGAATTTCTAAGTTGGAGAGGGCTGTTACTATGAAAAGACAGTTGATAGGAGACTTAATGTCTTGCCTAAAAGCAAATCAAGAAAATAAGAAAACCTCAAATGAAACATTGGAAAGTCTTGAGAGAAAGGTACTTCTTTCTTGTTATTTCTAATTTTCAAAAAAACAGAAGCTGGTGGATTTACAGAAGTTATTTCAACACACTATACATATTAATCAATATATTGCTTAAAGCAAAGAACATACAGTTAATTGAAGGGTGTAATTCCCTCTACTATAATTTGTATGAAATCAGTATATGGTGATAGCTTGAATGGATTCAGCATAATTTAATTTATCGTTGTTATAGGTGTAATTAAATATTAAAGTATTCAGAACACACAGTTACAAGGATATGCTGTAAGTAGTGGGATTTAGTGTTATGCACTGTAAGTTCATAAAATATAGTAGACCTGAAACAAGGGCGATTTTACATGACATATGCTAATTAAGTCCATGCAGCTCTCCTGGCTATAGTAGTTAAATGCTTTAATATGTTAATCTATTTTCTACTACAGTGTTATGAATGATTCACACTTCTTAGGTTAAAGTAATTCTAACTGTGTAGGTAGTGCTTGACTTCTATAGCAAATTACTTTCTCCTGCAAAATTTTAGGATGATTTCACTGAAGGTAAGAGAATTTGTATATGATTTAGCATATTTCTTATCCAACTGATGCATTGCACTTTGGCCTTCAATGCCAGAAAAAGATCATGATGTTTGGTTGTCTGTCAGGTTATGCAGCTTATGACTCCAAAATAGAAATAAACAACCTGCCAGTTTCCTTTTGTTTGCCTAGAATGCAAGTGCTTGCTGAGTGACACAAGCACTATTCCTGCTTGCAGACATACAGCATTTTCAGCTCCAAAGAGAGCTAATATATACCCTCCATGCTAAACATAAGGTGTTATTAAGAAGCCCACAGCCAGAAAGTGAGAACATTAAGTAAGCAAGGCAGCTAAGGTACGACATGAGAAAAATACCTGATTTTGGTTTTGGATAAAAGATTTAGTATGGAATAATGTGCTTTAGTGCTATACTTTGAGTATTTGAAACATTTCATTTCCAAAGAATCATATTCCATACATTATTTTGATTATTCCATGTGGAAAATCTGATTGATAAATTTTACATTATCTTCTGCAAAAGATCAAAGAAATTCCCTGTTACTCAATATTGTCAGGAAAACTTTGTGATTAGCACTATAGGAAAGCTGAACGATTTTTAGGAGCATTCGTTTTTTTCACTTTACCCACTTCACACCAATCAGAGTTTGCATTAGATATTCATTACCTAAGAATCTTTACAGACTATTAACATATAGACAGTTATTTTCTCAACTGAGTTTGAATTTTTGTTTTTATCTCTGACAAAAGAAATTAGTGGAAATTGTAGTTAACTCCCTTTTGAAAGTACTGTGAGTCTAAAATATGTATGAATAAACAGCTCTGAGCTTTTCTTTATATTTAATGCCAGTCAAAATTTTATGTAACAAGATTGTGTATGAATTGATCTCTACTGGAGAAATTTTCTCAACAGTAGAAATTTATTAAAGTCTGCAATTTCAGAAAAAGATACTTCAGTAATGTAATTGTGTATTTTTATGTAATATAGGTATGCTTAGTTCTGATTTTATTCAAATTTTGAAGTTTTCTATCTTGATAGTCAATGCTCTTGGCCTTTCATTATTTCAGACGAAGGCACTGGCTGAAGACAAAAAAGCTTCCATTGACTCAATGAAACAAAGGTTTAATGTAGCTATGAAAGAGAAGTCTCAGTATGAGCAGATGTATCACAAAGCTAAAGATGATTTGGAGAAAAAGGTATAATTAGAGTTTTAATGGCTCCACTGTGGAACTTTTTCTTACCTTAATTTCAAATGAAAAGTTGCAAGGTCATCAGCTTAAACTTTCAGTACAGAAAGGGGGAAAATAGCAGAATAATAGTAATCTGTTTCTCTGATGTAATTCAGTCACACTTCTGAAATTTAGGTACTGAAACATGGACGTAATGACTGAAAATGAAATTACTTTTTGCCATGAAATTACATACTATATATTGCAAGTGAAATATTCTATGATGTCACCTATGGTGTGGGAGGTTGGTTGTTCATTCATTTGTTTGTAATCTACTATCAGCTTTTGTCATAGCACTGCTGTGTCTCTGTGGATGTGTTTCAGGATCTCAGGATTGCTAAACTAGAGAGGAAAGTGATTGAGACTGAATGTGCTTTGAGTGAGCTTGAAACTGCTGCATCTCAACAACTATATGGCTTGGCTAAGCAGAATACACAGGCATTGGAGACTCTACAGAAGGAGCTGCTGCTCACCAGTGACAAAGTAGAAGAGTTCAAGACATTTGTGAAGGCTTGAATGTTGATTTTCTTTTGAGTGTACACCTGAGTAAAGGTACTTTTGATTGAAATAAAAATGTAAAAGATTAAGCAAGGCTTGGATGCACTCCCTGGTCCAGAACAGTGTTTGTAGTTGCTGCAGTGTTCTGGTGTCAGGTCTGAATAAGGAGAAAGAATCGCTGCCTCTCTCCCAGACTTTCAAATACTTCCATGACTTTTATTGGTCATGGAAGTATTTTATTGGTCATACTTTTTGTATATGGCTGACATATACTTGGTCCCAAAAGAAAGTCCTTATTTGTGTATCAGATTACTTTGTAGCAAATAAATTCCCAACACATTTAATACAGTAATTCATATCTATTGATTACTGTGAATTACTGATTTTTTTCATGTGCATGTGCGTCTTGTTTTAGAAATACTGTATAAGGAAGCCTCTGTGTTGCAAAGTGGAAAGCATTTTAAGAGCAGTGTGTAGAATATTGTTTCCTTATATTCCTTCCAGGAAAGTGGTCACAGCATCAGCCTGATAGAATTCAGGAAAGGTTTGAACATGGTGTGATACCTGGGGGTAATGCTAGGCAGGGCCAGGAGTCGGACTTTGATAATCTTTGCGGGTCTCTTCCAACTCAGAATATTTTGTGATTTTATTAATGTAGTGTATAACTACTGTATACCAACTTTCAAGAAGGCTATTGTTTATTAACCCATGAAACAGCTACTTCTCTACTGGTCTTGGATTTCTGTAGAAGTGAGCTGCTTTCAGATATGTTTGAGAAGGCTGAAACATTCAAAGTAAAGAGTAATGGTATTTTGATTCACTGGAAAAAGAAAGCATTTGAAGTCACTCTACAGGAAGTGTTCAGACCTTTAACATTTGCCTGAAATCATCCCATGTTCAGTTCAGTTGCTAAGTTCATATAAATTTCCGTATAAAAAAAGACTGAACAATGTTCAATATTGCTTTAGAATCCTAAATTCAAGTAATTCATAAGCTGACTTATCTAAGGTGAAAATAATGATTGGTTTTCATGAAAAAGTGCCCGTTCTTTAAAAAATTAGATATTTTATTTTTAAAGTTTATTATTAAAGTGATTAATACTTTGTGTGCTTTTTGATGTACCTGTTGAAAAAGAGGTATAAAACTGATCATTATGCCTCTTTGTTCAGAAATATGCTGCCTGTTCTTGAACAGACTATAAATTTTTATGACAGAAAATGTGCTTTCTTCTAATACTGAATGCTTACTCTAAGGGAAAGATATAGGTGTTCTTTCCACAGCTGCATGCTTATTTTTGGCTAAATATGGAAAAGCCTGAATTAATCTAATGTAATATCTATTATTTTTAATTAAAGTACTCCTATGTCACTGATGATGGAGAGAAGCAATTCAGTCTCCATTTAGACTGCTATGAATTTTGGAATGTTTTCACTGAAGAAAGTGAAAGTAGCAGTTACAGAAATAAGGAGATTAAAAAATCATGCTATCAATATTTTGATAGCCACATGGTTCCATAATGAAATTTTTTTCAAAAATTAGAAAATGAGAAAATAAAAGATCTGTTCTCAGAAGTAAAAGTAGTGAGCAGGATCACCTATTAGCAACTTGTCTAAATTATCTTAACTTCATTGTTGAATGAGATGACGGCTTCATTGTTAATGATCATATTCATTAGCACTTTCCTGGTTAGACTAGATGTGAAAAAATGTAAATATGAAATAATAATAATAATAATAATAATAATAAAAATAATAATAATAATAATAATAATAATAATAATAACAACAACAACAACAATAACAATAACAACAACAACAACAACAACCACCTATTTTCTTGCCTGAATATAAAGAATATTCATGCATATTTCAAGTAACAGTTTTGCTGACTGCTGTTCCTCTGCAGAATGATTTTTTTGAAAACAAAGATAGTGTCTATAAGTAAACTACTTTGTTAAGTCGGATGCTAAAATGAGATTTTATTAGCAATATGCCACTGTAAAAAAGTTAAGTCCTTAGCAGTTCAGTGGAATTGTGCAGCATATCACGTAAATCCTGTTAAAATATCTGTTGTGTATCTGATGTTACAATGAGATATTGTGATAAAACTTACTGTAATAATAGCAGTACTCCTTCCTGTGGAAGAGTACAGCTCTTCTTTTGAAGTCTGCTCTGCCTTGTTTCTTTTCTTCTGGATAGCTGTCAGGTTTTTGTCCCCTGATCTTGATTCTCATTCCAGTTCCAGTAATTCAAATAATTTTTTCTATATAGAGATCAAGTTTCACCTATATATATATCTCACTTAAACAGGTTAACAAAATTATACAATCCTCTAATCTTTGCTATTCTGACCCTCCATAAGCTTTACTTGTTTTTTAGAGTGCAACTGTAATTTTCTCCTCATTCTCAAATTGAATGCACTTACATTTTCTACCCATTCCACATGTCTTTTGACATTATATAGTTCTTTTTTTATATACAACAATTAAATATTTCTGAGTTGCTAATTAACTTGCTGCTAGTTACAGTATTACATGGGAGAACAGGGTAACTTCAGAGAAGAGTGGATTTATAGCAGGCAGCGTTACATAATTTTAAAGTTATTGATAATAGAGAACCACAGGATCCTGGATCTCTTTGGGTCAAGAAAATAAGTTACAAAACCTAGGGAAGAGGTTTGTGGTAGAAATCTGATATACACCAGTGGATCACTGTAGAGGATGTGATGACTTACTAATTGAGCACATATTTGTAATGGAATGTAATAAAGTGTTGCATTGCTGTGGTCACCCCAATTTGGGACGCTTACACAATGAGCTAAAATCATTAGATTGTAGAATCTAGTAATGGTTTCCAAATATGCTAAGGAATGCTTGTAAACAAAGGTTGCTGTATCCAATATGTGTTAAGGGATTCTTGGATTCATTTTTGTTGGAGTGTGGGATAGGGATCAGATATTTTATGCAGAATGACTTTCAGAGGGAACTGACAGAGCACCTGGAATACGTTAATTCAGAGCAATTTATTTGTCCAAAGTTGTTATGAGAAAGATATAGGCTAGTAGGAAATACGAATAGAAATTGTGGACTGTAACAGTTTATTAAATTACCAAAAAAACACTGTTTCATAATTGGGTGATAATTCCTTATAAATATCTCTTTCATTTTTGTAAGAAAGAGGGCAAAATATTTAGAAATAAAAGGCAACATAAACAAAGTGGAAAATGGATTCTCAATAATAGCCTGAAAATACAAGCAAGAATAGAATATAAAAGATGGATAAGATCCTGAGTAAGTAAGAGGAAATCTTTGGGTAGCAAGGCCAAGAACAGTAGTAAACAGGCAGGATTTAAAAATGTTCTACTACTAAGGTAGCTATTACAGGGCAGATGTAATCTATTATTAGATGAAACAACTCTGTAACTATAAAAAGATAGAGTGAATAAAAATATTAAATAAATAAAATTTATATGATAAAATGAATACTTCTGGAATGAAGTAGGCTGATGTCTTTGTGAAGATGCTGCAACATCCTTAATCTATTAGTAGCGAAGAGAAAGTTTTTAACATTTTCTAGAAAGAAGTAGGATTTTTGGATAGAGAATTTTTATAGCTTGCCACTTCATAGAGCTGGTTAAGAAATATTTATCTTGCTGATCCTCATTTTGAATAAGTATTCAAAGTCAGTGCATATATGTTACAACACTGTCTAGAGTCTGAAAGAATAATAATATTGAGTCAATATTCAGAAAAGGCAGTATTTTATAATTTCTGAATAAAATACTGATAAGAAATTCAATTGTTCAAGTAGTAAAGCATGGGTGTATAGTTATACTTGTTAGAGTACCTTTATGAAAAGTGACTTGTATTGAGTAAATCTGGTTTTTTTTCTGGAGAGTAGCACAAGTCAGTTGATAAAGGTTACTGTTTGTTTTAATATATCTTTTTTTAGGATGTCTGACCTACCACTGAGATTTTCAGACAAAAAAAATAGCCCATGCAGTATTAATATTATGTTAAATTTAAATAGATTAAAAATAGCTCATGCAGTCAATCTGAAAAATAAATCATAAAATGTAGGTGTTTTTTAGAGTTCCAATAACAACCAGAACTAAACTTGATTATTAAACATTTCACAAACTTCATATCCTGATAAAATTTTTCCGTAGTATGTATCAAACTAAGAATTAATAATGAGATTAGCGCTGTCAATATATCAACTGAGTCAAATAAAGCCATTTTATTATATTTATAAATGCAAACTACCTGGAAGAGGGATCAGGTGGCTCTGAGAGTACTTCAAGTGCGTTTTCTAGAGCTCATGTCTTTATCACACCCTGCTCCCTTCAGCACCATAAATTCTCTTTGAATCATGCATTCAATTTTTATGGTGTACCATTGCTCAGGATTTTCTATAACATGTACTGTCAGATCCTCAGTGGATCTGCCAGTTACGTGAAGCACAGCAACCAGAGCAAAATGTTCTTTGTTGTGTGTTTGTAGTACTTGAGAGACCTCATGCAGAAAACAGCCATTGAATAACATTAAAAAATTGCTATTAGACTGCTTGACTGGATTTCTATCAAAAATATAGTAGAACATACTAGTTTATTATGAAACTGTCCAAACTCCTGCATGAATTCTGTTTTCCAGTATGTTCTATTTTTTTATCCTCCTCTAGACTTTGACTGACTGTATGTTTCTCTTAGAGGCTTTTGTAAGCCAAGACTCAGTAGTGTCGTCTGTCCCATTCAACTTGTACATTAGCAAAACTCATTTTAATCTGTGGTGATGATGCCTGTCTGAGCATGAGAATATCATAACTTTTCTGACCTTGAGAAGGATTGTTTTGATAAGGCATCTATATTCAGCTGTGGTGGTAATAACTAGGTGATGGCAGCTGAATGCTTCAAAATCAGTTGAGTGCACTTCTTACTTCCATACTACCTCTGTCATTTGGGACTTGTGTGCCTTCCACTGAGGATACCCTCTGCAGCACAGAGCACATCTGGTG